CCGGATCACGGCTTAACTTGAAAAAGTAAATAAACGCGTTATTATCGGCATCGATACATTTTACAGTCTACCCTACGACATCCCACAGCACTCCGCTAAGAATCTCAATATTTGCACAGTGAAAAACAGCCCGTACGGATAGCCCCTGTATTACGTAACCAGGATCCCTCACGGTACCCGCGAAACGAAAAACGAAGCAGCGGGGTCGTGTGAAAGAAAGAATGATCGGTCCTGAAGATCCTACGCGACGCTCTCTAGGCTCAAAGACGTAAAACGCCTGGACAGTCGTTGAGTATCGACTGAACGAAATTGAAGTCATCGAGCAAGACGAAATATAAATAAAAGACCAGACAGAGTCGACAGAATGGTGCCTGGCCGGTGGTTGTAAATCCGCGACACAGTAGGATCGGTCTAGTCGTATAGTCTAGTCTAAAATCGTATACCACAGAGTTTTGAGGTTAAGGTACGACGATGAGATCGAGATATGAAAAATCTATGGATCGAATCCGTGAGCAGTGCCTTGCTGCGTTCACGCAGCTTATACATTTTCGTGTACCCTCCACTCCCCCCCTCCCCTCCCCTCCTACGAGTGGGTCTCCATCGTAACGCGTGAGCGGCCCGGTAACACCTGCCCCAGGGGTGGCTAACCGTCTAGCCGGAGCGCAAACGTAAATTCCCATAAGGCCTCGGAGAGAGCTTCATTTCGTTTCCCAAAACCCATAATGCACTGCGCGAGCCAACCTCGCCCTGCTACTTCTACGTTAGTTGTATACCTGTCAAGTTGGCATAATGGTAGAGAGAGAGAGAGAGAGAGAGAGAGCAGCTATAATGGCCCCGTATACTTTTTCACGGAACGTTGAAACGCCCAGAGTGCTCGGAGAGACGGTGAAAGAAAACGTATCGAGTTCCTGGAGTTTGGTTAAACGGGAGGGAAGAATATTTAAATGAAAAATTACTTTCCTCCAGGTATCCTCGGTATACGCGGTGTCCCCGAAAGCAGGGTATCGGCGCAGGATCGATTTTCTACGAGTGTTCATGGCGATTAGCCAAAATCCGCGAAGAGGCTATTCTACGACTAGGCACGGTTAGGCGTGCGATGCTTGACCCTAACAGCCATTTAATTAGCGAATAACGGGTGGGCAATTAGCAGAGCCCGTTAGAAGGGCCTTCGATCGGTCGATGACGACCTTGGCTGCCTTTGCCCGACGCGTCCGTCCCAAGAATATCTCGACTCTCGCGCCACGGCGTTCGTGTGAATCGGCCGTTCACGTTCGATGCGCTCTATTCCCGTCGAAATATTCCAAAATAGACCCGGACGCCTATTTTCGAGATGCGTTAATGCTGAGTGCA